CCTGGTCACCTGCCTCAGGCATTGCACAGCAGTGTGTGGGTTTGCCCACTGCACACATCACTTTCGCTCCTATGGAATGATCATGAATGGTGCAGGGAGGAGAGTTATGGTATGCTTTCGGCCAAAATAATTCTGTAAGGATTCTGCTGCATGGGAGAGATGCCAGCCTCACCCTCCACCTGGTCCTTACTCTACCGTTCTGGAGAGATGTCGACTGAACATTCTCCATTGTATTCACACTGCTACTATGTGGGGGTGCCTCCTACACTGAGTCTCTGATGTACACATTTCTGCCCCACAGAGGTGCAGCCCACACTTCTTTTCTGAGCATCTGTTGACAAAGCATCTCTAGATAGAGCTAAACTGCCCACTTCTTCTATTCCTGCTGCAATTTGGTGTCTTTGGCTTTCACCTGAGTAATGATTTCCTCAGTAGGATTTGAGCCACCAGGTGCAAGGAGTTATTTCACCCTAATAGTGAAGTCACTCTTTTGGGTCAGTGTTACTCCACTTACTTGTTCTTCATCAGTAGGTCCTGCTGCCTCTCTGCTGGAGTATCTCAACAGATCTCTTTTCAAGATAAGTGGTATCCCACTTCTAAAACCAGTGTAATTGGAACAGGGGGTGATTAGTCCATAGCTTGGTTACCAATTTTAACCAAATGGAAGTTCTAGTGTAGGAAGTAGAAAATTAACAATCAATTTATTAATGTTCAAATGTTCAACACAACTTTGTCAAATACTGCAATGCACACTAGCATCATACTTACTTCCCCCAGGTTGATGTCAGGGTCACTGCAGTTACCCATGCTTTGTTTAAGTGCAGGTGGAGGTATGTTGGCTATCAGGCATATGCCTAAGGATAGTCATGGTTGCTTCATTTCAATGCAGGAAAGCAACAACCAGGTCTTATATTTATAACTTATGCATTTTGGTATATTGTCGCCATGTAGTAAGGAAAGCTACACCAAGCAGTTGACCTATACAGGGCATTGCAGGTTGCTATTGCACCCTATAAGGATCACTGTAGTATTCTGAGTATACTCAGAAATATCCTCCAACCCCTCCTTGATTGTTAGATTCCAGGCATTAAGTTATGCCTACAAATGTTGTTGTTGGGATTGTGTCACATATCCTTCGTATCCATGCGGCAAAAACTGAGATAATTACCTTCCGAAGATCAAGGGGAGTGCCGCTCGGCAGTCTTCTGCCATGATGTCTGGCCTGTGCGGCATATCTGTGCATGCCGGCTGCTGCGGACCCACGCAATTATATAGCCCTACATCCGTCCACGGTAAAGACGACGTTGACGCGTGGGTGATGTCACGCTAAAGACGCACATGTACGTTTTGGGGTCAAGGGCTAGGTACAGCCAATCGGATCTGCAAGAGGTTTATTTAAACTCACTTATTCCTTAGCTTATTGCCCTGTTGTGGTTTCCCTTAGATGGTTATCCGAGAGTATGTTCCTGATCGTGTTTTTCTGGTTTTTGACTTTGGCTTAGTTTTGACTAACCTGAATTCTGGTACCCTTGACTTTTGGCTTTTCCTTATCACTGTGTCTCGTTCTATGTCCCTGACCTCGGCTAGTTTTCTGACTATTCTCATGTACGTTAAGTTTGGCCATTCTAAGACTTGGTAAGGCCCTTAGTTCTAGGGTGTGATGCTATTCTGCGTGCTGGATCAATATAATCCTTACAGATTGGAATGGAGCACCATCTACAGTCAGTGTTCATAGATATAGAGGGATGGAATAGATCCCTGGCCGGAAAATGTGTTTCTCTTCAGAACAAAACCCACACAGGAGCAAAGTGGGGATTTATGGGTTTCAAAGCAAAATGAATGTTGGTTCAAGTATGATATTATTGAAGAAAAGAGTGAACAAACTCTTGATAATTTCCTTAAATGTTGATTTTTTTTCCTTCTCAAGGATACAAATAATGGTACATTAGCAGTATATAATTATTTTTGCTTCATGTAAAGGAAGTGGAAACTCCAAACTATTTAATTTGATAAAATGAAACCAATAGGAAAGGTTATTCCATACAGGCTACTGAATTTTATTTTCTCATGTTTTTGCCTTAATATAGCATGTCGAAGCTGATCTCTGGCCTCATTTTCCAAAACCACCTAGTCTTCAAAATAGATTGTTATTGTTTATAGTTTTAAGATCTCATGCTACTATTTTAATCCAGCAATTTATCCCTGAATTCTAAAGAAAGAAAGAATTCTAACGCTCGATAGGCTACACAAACCTACACCTATTTTTTTTAAGATTAGCATAAAAAAATCTTTATAGATTTATCGGCTGTGTGCCATGATTGGGCAAATCATGTTTAATTACGTTTTATTAAATTGTATTTAATGCCTTGCTTCTCTATTCACTCTAAGCAGTTTATTGTTCATTGATCCAGGACTGAAAGATTTGGAGGGGAACACTAAATACAATAACCACTGCAGCGTATTGTAGGGGATAGGTCACAGACTTTGTAAGTACTGTCTCTCCATTTTTTGTCATATCACCTTCAAATAGTTTAAAGAACCTGATGTCTTCCTGGTGCCTAAACCCCCATCTTTATTGCATTAGTTAAAAATTATAGTATTAGAAATACATGTATTTATGCCTTAATAAAAAAAAAAATTCTGTATTAGCCCATCCAACTTTGTATTGCAATACACAATCACTGCCGCCAATGGCTGGATGGATAATAAGGAAATCACATAAGGATCTATTGATGCCTGTGCTTTCATGTGGTTTAAAGGATCACTATGGGGTCAGGAACACAAACATGTATTCCTGACCCTATAGTGTTAACACCACCATCTAGCCCCCCTGGGCCCCTCATGCCTCCATAAATATAGTAACAATCTTACTGTATTCAATCCTGAAGCTGTAAATCTGCATGCTGTTAGACTCAGAAAAACAAGCAGTCTGCTGACATGTGGTAGCCTGATCCAATCACAGTGCTTCCCCATAGGATTGGCTGAGACTGACAAAGAGGCAGATCAGGGGCAGAGCCAGCATCATTCAAACACAGCCCTGGCCAATCAGCATCTCTTCATAGAGATGAATTGAATCAATGAATCTCTATGAGGAAAGTTCAGTGTCTGCATGTAGAGAGAGGAGATACTGAATCACAGGATGCTGTGCACGGTGCTGCCCTGTGCTCTGCTGACAGCAGATCGGAGTGTATGGAGGCATATTCTGCCTCCATCAACTCCGAAGTCCCTCTGGTTCACTCTGAGTGACTGCAACTGGAGGTGATCCTAGCTTTCAATGTAAACACTGTAAGGCTGCAGGGAGCTATAGTTCTCACTTGAACAACCTCATTACGCTGAAGTTGTTCAGGTGACTATAGTGACCCTTTAACAGTTACATTATTATTATCACAGTTTTGCAAAGTGTTCCTTTTGGTAGGGCAAGTAGAAAATTGCTGTCCTTGTTGATTTTTGTTGTCCCCATGAGAAGAGGAGTCTGGTCATCTGCCTCAGAAATTGCACAGCAGATAGTGCACACACCACTTTCCCTCCTATGGAATGATCATGAATGGTGTATGTAGGAGACTTATGAGTTATGCTTTAGACCTACCTAGTCTTAGAGTACCTAGAGTACTGTAAGGTAAACAGGGAGTGACTGGTCCCTGCCTTGGGATCTTAACCTGTCCTGCTACATTGCCAGACCCTTCTTCTCTGGTACCAGGAACCACAACTATCTTCCAGGTAAGAATTGATCGCACTGTCCGCTCCTTCTTCTAGGCTGCCTGCATGCATTTTAGAGATGCCAACCACACCCTCTCCCTGGTCCTCACACTGCCGCTCTTGAGAGATGAACCTTCTCCATTGGACTTACTCTGTTTATGTGTTCATGTGCTAAGGAGTCACGTTCATTCTCATGTACAGTACCTTTATCATTCCTTTACATGAGCACCACAGATTGGCTTACCAATCTTAGCCAATTCCAGGTTCATGGGAAGTAAATAACCTGCATACAGATAAACATTGAAATGTATTTATTTATTTATTTATTTATTTGGTTTTTTTTTTAGATGACCACAGAAAAATACAATCACAATTAGGTAGTGAACAATCCCACCAGGGCCATTATACCAGGAGACTAAAAGCAACAACAAGAGTGAACATGACATCAAGAGACAAAACCATCAAGGAAAGAACCAATGTAAAAAAAGTAGAACAATATAAAGTGCAATAAAGAGTGTGATCCGAAGTGTTACTATGTATGTTGATATCATTATTGTAAGGTTAAATACAGTTGTGCTCAAAAGTTTGCATAATTGTGAAATTTTGGCATTGACTTTGAAAATAAGACTGATCATGCAAAAAAATTTATTTTATTGAAGGATAGTGATCATATGAAGCCATTTATTATCACATAGTTGTTTGTCTCCTATTTAAATCATAATGATAACAGAAATCACCCAATTTGCCCTGATCAAAAGTTTAAATTGCCTTAAATGTTTGGCTTGTTACAGACACACAAGGTTACACACAAACAGGTTAAAATGGCAGTAAATACTTAATTAAGACAGTGTGGTTGTTTTAAAGAGCACAATACGACGATACTTAAACAAAAATGAGCTGCATGGTCGAGTTGCCAGAAAGAAGCCTTTACTGCGCCAATGCCACAAAAAAGCCCAGTTGCAATATACCCAACATACCTCGCAGCTTCTGGCACACTGTAATTTGGAGGGACAAGACAAAAATAGACCTTTATTGTAACAACCATAAGGGCTATGTTTGGAGAAGGGTCAGCAAGGACTATAGTGAAAGGAATACCATTCCCACTGTGCGGCATGATCGTGGCCCACTGATGTTTTGGGGGAGTGTGAGCTCTAAAGGCACGGGGAATCTTTTGAAAATTTATGGCGATATGTATGCAGCATGTTATCAGAAAATACTGGCAGACAATTTGCATTCTTCTGAACGAAGACTGTGCATGGGACGCTCTTGGACTTTCATGCATGACAATGACCCTGAGCACAAAGCCAAGTTGACCCTCCAGTGGTTACAGCAAAAAAAGGTGAAGCTTCTGGAGTGGCCATCACAGTCTCCTGACCTTAATATCATCGAACTACTCTGGGGAGATCTCAAAAGTGTGGTTCATGCAAGACAACCAAAGACTTTGCCTGACCTGGAGGCATTTTGCCAAGACAAATGGGCAGCTATACCACCTGCAAGAATTAGGAGCGTCATAGACAACTATTAAAAAAGACTGCACGCTGTCATTGATGCTAAAGGGCACAATACACAGTACTAAGAACTAGGGGTATGCAGAGTTCTGAACAGGGGTCATTCAATTTTTTTCTTTGTTGCCATGTTTTGTTTTATGATTGTTGCCATGTTTTGTTTTATGATTATAACCTACACTTGAATATGAATCCCATAAGAATAAAATAAATGTGTTTTGCCTGCTCACTCATGTTTTCTTTAAAAATTGTACATATATTACCAATTCTCCAAGGGTATGCAAACTTTTAAAAAGGAAAAGTGGGTAGAGAAGAAAAAAGGGGAGGAGATGGCAGACTAGCTAAGGTAATAGAAGGTTACAGGAGTCTCTATTCTCTTGGAGTGACTCTTTCCAAGGTCCAGTAGTTTAAGGTGCCTTCTAAGAATGCAGTAATTTTGTCCATAGTAAGGGAATAGGCTACTTGATATATCACCTGAGTAAAGATCGGGAGGAAGAATTTCCAGATTTTTATGATGCATAGTATAGCGTCTGTACATATGCAAATGATCAGCTATTGTGTGACGATGAGAGTTCTAGAGATGGGTATGGGTGATTGAACAAAGTGTCCAGGCATTAGTGACAAGGTCAACTCCAAGAGCCAAACGAAGTTCCTTGAATATTCTGAATATTCATAGCCCAAAGTTGTGCTTCCAGTGGCCATGTAAATTCCATGAGAAGGTGATTATTTTTTTTTGTTTTAAGGTTTTATCTTAATGGTAGATGATTGTGCATACTCTTGAAAATTGAAGAGCCTTGTTGAGAAGGTATTGGTTCCTTACTTTGTATTTTGCAAAAATACAATGATAAAATTACTTGAGAGCTCACAGTTGATCCACACTGAAGCATCTACTTATACCCCATCTAAATTTAAATATACCCTTAATAGAGATCTAAGTGAAATGCTACTTTGAAGCACAGCTCCAAGGTTCTCTCAGCTGAAGAGTCTTAGAGCACAATAGCCACTACAACTACAAATAACGTGTGAACAGATTAACATACTAGAAGATATATCATTTGTTCATATTACTTAAACGGTATAAATAAAAAGTACTTAAGAACCATACGTTAACACTGATGGAATCTCAGACGTCGAATTAAATGTACCGAATTAACTCACACCGGGTTATTCACCAGTTGCCAGTGAATTGCAAATTTAAGGCCAAGCTAGAAAAATAACTAAGCTGGATATTGTTTTTCCAAATTTGACTATTTTATCTAATTTATATAATTTGTAATCTAATGGTCGATTCCTGACAATTCTTATGGGGTTATTCACTAAGCATCAAAATACAAATTTATAATTTTACTTGTAATTGTAATTTTTGATATTTACTACTCACAATTCAGGGTTTAATTTTGAAAATGCAAATGCAAATACAGTTTGGAACAAATGGACCCTTCACCTGTTCCTCTAGACCAGTTAGTAAAAATAATTTTTGGTGTAACTTTATCCTGATGCTAAAAAAACCTTAAACAGTAGTCTAAGCACTGAAGTCCATTGTTGTGGTTTGACACAAACTGAGAGTATAATTTCTTCCACTTCCGTCCCCTGGCTTACTGATTTGCTATTGTGGAAGAGCTACATGTCCACTTTAGTAATGTCATTTTTGTGCATATTTCGACAGCATTGATTGGCTGAGCATGGCAGATGATTTTATCAACTAATGAATGTATTCCAAATGTGGACAAAATTGAAATTGTTAATGTGGAAGTGTAACTTCCGAACTTGCAGTGCAGTGCCCGAAGGGCTAGGTCAGGTCATAGGTGCCTTGGGGACCCTCCGTGTTAAACCATTTGAAAAAGATGTAACACAAAATATAAGGGGTTGGAGAGGGCTCAAATAGCCTGCTAGCTCCATAACCACAACAATAACTTGTAGTGTTTATGGTGCCTGGTGTGTCCCTTTAACCTTCAAGCTCTAGTAAATTGACCTGTTTGTGTCTTCCATATAAGAGATGTTGAGTTATATTTTCACAGCCAAGGGGCTTATTCACTAAACACTGGCTAAAAGAGATACACTGGCAATATACGTGTTCAACTGAGGTTTAATAGACTATTTGGAATAAAATTCCCAGCTACTCTAGTTTGTAGACGTATATATCTGCAAATATATCGCGCACTATTCTAGCTAGTTCACCACAATTCACCGCTTAGTGAATGGGCCACTTGCTTCTTTATAATGGATTTTAAAATAAAAAAGGATGTAGAATTGTAATTTGAAAGACAAGTAACTGTGTTTATGTACCTGACGAAGGCTACACAGATAATAAAAATTCCATAAAACATTTAAAAGTAATTGATCAGCAGCCAAGAACTAATGTGTGTTAATAATTTATCTCAACAAATCTCGGGGGATATGAAATAATTTTAAAGTGCCTAATATTATAATTAATTCATAAAATATCCAAGTTCACACAATTTCTTTATTTTTCGCACTAAAGGAATAAAAACAGCTAATACTGAAACAGTGGTAGTATGTAGAAACCTTTATCCCATTAGTCACTACAAAATTTTAAACAAATCACGACAGTTCTGTGCTAAAACAGTGCAAAAAATGGGTTTCTTGTTAACGGTGTTGATTTATTCCTTGTGGGTTTTCCTAAATGTACCTACATGCAGTCATCGAGCGGACTCTCCCCTCCTCGCCGACATAGCGCATTATAGGAAATTTGTTGTAAAGTAAATAGGGCTAGATGCAGTGTGGAGTGATTCAGCCGTGTTTGCAATATTCTATAAATTAAATAGAATGCAACCATGATGCATGGTTGCATCAGTTATGCTACTATCACTCCATACAAATGAAAATGTTGCCAGACAGCTCGTTAAATATGCAAATGAGATCATTATGCATTCATCTAAAGGTAATTCCATGGAATTAAAGGGTGCATGGGAGTAATTTGGTTCCCATTAGGGCCTTTGATTTATATTAAATATTTTTTAATAAACTTTTTAAATGATTTAATGTTTTTTTGATAAAATTTTTTTATTATTTAATATTTTTGGGTAAACTTTTAAAATGATTTCATATTTTGAAAAACAAATTGTTTTTTTTGGTTTTTTTTTTATATTCTGATTACTTTTTTAAATATTGCCATATCATACATATGATATATATTTTTTCAATATTTTAATATTTGGAAAGACTGAATTAAAAGTCTTTATCTGAAGATATTAAATCATTTAAACAGCTTATTCAAAAATATTAAATCATTTGAAAAAAGCATATCCTAAAATATTAAAATGTGGCCGAAATACCTATTAACTGTATAAAACTGGGCTGCATAAGCTATTCTAAAAAGAGACAGATACGATGCAAGTTTTGGCAACATTGTTTCAGCTCTGTTTTGGAACCACTGACATGATGGAGGAGAAGGACTGCGGTATCGGAGGACTTCTACTTTAAGGATATTAGTCACAGTTTTATTTATTTGTTAGCACTCAGAATTATATGAAGTATACTTATTATTATTTTTACATTTTTATAAAGAGTAAAATAAATGCACAGGAACCCCTAAATCATGAGATTTTCTTTCTTCAACCTCAGGTGATCCCTTTCCCTTAAACTGAGTTTTGATGATAATGGTACCTTATTCATGTATAACAAATACATGGTAGCATAGAGACAGAATGAAGCAGGAACAAGAAGGATAAGATTTGCAAAGACTCTTTCTATAGCGTGCGCCCAAGGTACTGATTTCATGCACACGCTATAAATGCCTTAATCTACATAAATGCCCCCTCCCTTTTTTTTTCTTTCCCCACCAACTCTACTCTATTCTACTGCCTCTTTAACTCTCGGATCTAATGATAATTTCTTCTTAATTTTTACTCAAGCTTAATTCTGACTCCATTGGTGCGGTCCCAAGGTCGGGAATAGCAAATGGAGCAGCTGCCTATTGACTTATCAAAAGCCTGTGTCCCGAATGTAGATGTTCATCCCTATTACCTTAAGGTGTGGAGTTATGGGTCTCCATGGAACGAGGCTCTCTAGGTATTGATAACTGTTTACTTATGTTGCATGTAGTATTGTTAACTTTTGTTAAATCGTGTTGGTTGGAGTACTGTGTCAATAAGAATTTTTCAAATGAACTATGAAGAAGAAATTGAAATTCCAAATGCTGGAAGCCCTTCTGATTCAGCTCAGAACTCTCGAAATCCGGCATCAAATGACGCCAGACGACAGAACCTATCGCCAACTGAAATCTGTAAGACGGTCCATACGTACGTTACTGCTAGATGATACAGCCAGGTCAATGTTATGGGGAAGGAGGACATATAAAATGGACACACTCCTGGCCAGAACACTTAGGCCTAGACAAAAAAGATCCCATATAAAGGCCATAAAACACCCAGATGGCTCTATAAAAACGAACCCGAAGGACATTGCCTCAGTATTTGAAGATTTTTACAAATGATTGTACAACCACACACCGGCTGCACATCAGGATGGACACGAAAAAGAATGCCTACTTGGGTTTCTGGAAGGCCTGGGGCTGCCTACATTGTCGAGAGAGGCGATGAATAGCCTCGCGGCAGATATAACGGAGGAAGACGTGGACAGAGCAATCTCGGGACTGAGCAGGAACAAGGCACCCGGGCCTGACGGGTTCGACAGAGCCTACTATAAAGCTTTTCGAGAGGAACTCACACCGAGAATGGTAAGGCTGTGAGCAGGCCTGAGCCATGCTTCCGCCCACGACCCGGAAATGTCGTTGGCCACAATGGTATTACTGCCCAAACCCGAAAAGGACCCGCTCCAACCGGAAAATACAGACCCATATCTCTCATTAATCACGACATGAACACGACATATGGTTGGATTCATACCTGGCAGACAGCTTTTCAAAAACACCAGAAGGAACATAGATATAATTTGGAAACAAGCAGTCACGGGGACACTTACGCTGGTTTTCTCCATAGTTGAAGAGAAGGCTTTTGATAAGGTCCGGTGGCCATACCTATTCACCCTGCTGGCGCATATGGGCTTCCCGGAAGAATACTAAGGATGGAGCCACTAAAGTTTAGGCTCAAGTT